ATGGTTTGCAGTAGGGTCATACAATGATTTACGGTGATAGATTTTCGAAAAATACACAACTTTGGCATAGGTATTCTTTGTATGATGTAAGATAACAACATGGTAGCTGCATGAAAAAGTTGCATAAGGACTTGGCCAGGATTCAATCCCATGATCATATCCATGCGAGTCTTTAAAATGTACACGTTGAGAGCCTTACATTCTGTGCATTGCATTTATTGATCAGCTTGTAATGCAGTCAAGACCGCCTCAACCTACGGTCTTCTCTCTACAATCAGTTTCCTTTCAACAAACGAAGTGGGACAGAAACATGAAAACGTTTGAATACCATCAGAATTGGGATTTGCTTCTGCGTTGAGTCTTGATTGCTGTGGATCAGGGAAATCGCTGTTTGAACAGATACACTTACACGATTTACTGTCGCACACATGGCGCCTCGAGGAAGCCTACACACAGGAGGCTGGCTGCAAGAAGATCAAGATTGGGAATTGACCCTCTCAACAGGGGATTGCTCTTTATTAACCTTTTCCATGTTTTGCAAGACGTCTTGTTTAAAAGAACTCTCATCTGGTCTGGATTATTTGATGCCTGAAGAGATCGATGAAAGAAACACGTTCCGCCATCTGCCAACAGATAGCACCAACTACTGGTGGTTTTGAACAATTGAAGTACACGCTACAATGAAAGTGTGTTAACAGAAGAACGTTGGCTTGAATAAAAATGGACATAAAAGGAGCTAGACGTTTAATTCAGGATAATTGCATAAAAATCTGTTTACGTCCTAAGAGTTTTGATATTTAAACCATCCTTGTTATCTCTTGAGATTCCTCGAAATTAATTATTTAGTTCGCTCTCGCACTCATTCGCCTGTTTGTTTATGTAGGCCTACGTGTGATGATAAGAGTGGACAGATATGCGACACGAAGAGTCGTGCATTTCGAATGCGTTATTTGCTATTTTACACGTTTGGTGTTGATGTTCCTGTGTTGCATATAGTATATTGTTGCAAAGAAAATCACAACAAATTCACTGCACAAAATCATAAATTATTTTTATCATGTTCAAATATTTACCGCATCGAAAAATAATTGACCGATACGAACCAAAAATAAATTTCGCCAACACTTTTCAATGTAGACACCCAATACCATACGTAACCGAATTTGTTCAGTAGTTTTACAGACGAAGCTTGCGAATAACGGACAGGCACGTCTTCCCCATCACAAGTTTATTTTAAGCGCCTTATGTAAGGGAACTGTGGAACATGCCAGTGTCTGTCTGGTCGGAATTCAGCTTATCGGCACAGGAATATTAAGTTATTTTCCTGTAGCTCGGAGTGGTCCAACGTTTTTATTCATTTGGCCAAGAGTGGTTTTCTTGTTGGAACCAAGGGCCAGGAAACCCCTTCTGGCACTATAAAACGTACATTATATGGTCGGGTTTTAAGTCAACAGCAATTTCACGGGCCTGTTTACAAGTCGACTCGAACCGGATTGGGCCAGCGGACTGCCAGTTGAACCACGCTGCTGTTTTTATTTTTAGAACTACTCTTTTTCGGAGGCTTTGGCTATATAGTGTCGAATGAGAGGATGGTGGTGAATTGGAAAGGTTGTGGAAGGAAGCGGTCGTGGCCTAATTTAAGGTATTATCACCGGCATTTGCCTGGTGGGGCTGAGAACAACCACGAAAAACCTCAGTAAGGATGGCCGATCTCTGGGACCTCTCTAACATGAAGCAGGAGTGTTAACCGCTCGATCACGTCGTTCGGTACGCTGCTGTAGTTGACAAAAAAACCTGTTGTAAAAAATGAACTTGTACCACTTTAGCTCTAAGGAGCTCAATTGTAAAGGCCGAATATGCCTTTACGCCTTCCATAGTTTCGAAGTCGCACACATAAATGTCACGTACAGCAATAATGTTATCTCCCTCTGACTTAATCCGTCGTACTCTGAAGTGACTGAAAGCAGATGGCACTTACAGCAGTGATAAGCCAGTATGCACTTTTGGGAATAGCGATTTGCTGTTAATTCCAAGAACAACAGTAGCTACGGCAACAGTGGTCTTTGCTTACACGAAATTTCCAAATATGTCGTTTGTAAAGTAAGTGTTGCCAAACCTTTTTATACTTTATTTTATTACATGTTAACGTGTCACACTACATGGTTACCAGAATTATATTTTACCCGGATTTATATTTGATTTTGTATGTAGTCTGTGGTTTTATATTGTAACCAAGTCCATGGAACAGAGCACAGCCGCTCAGTTAGCAGCGAAATTTCCTGCCTTTTGTAAACCCGAAGTTTCATTACCGTGTTCACAAGAATCCGCCACTGATCCCTACAGAGAGCCAGATACATATCGTCCACATCCTGGCATTCTGTTGAAGATCGAGTTTGGTTAGAAGCAACCTTCTGTTTACTCACAGGTCTTCCAGACGGTTCCTTCTGTTTTGCGCGATTCTTGTAGGTCATTGGTATGTGTCTGAGGGAGAAATATACTGTGTTTAATTACTATTTCCTTTATGAAAATGTTGCAAGAATCCTACTTTTTCACTAAGAATAATACTATGATATTTAGGTGATATCATAAAAACATTGAACCAATGCGATAAAATCTTCGGGCAACAGCCGTGTCGGTTCTGGACAGGAGCCCAACATTTCGGAGACCCCCTCCGCCTCTATTATCAGGGAAATGATCTTTACCCTGAAAGTTTCAAGTCATTACACGAATAGTTTCTTACGTGGCATAATAATATCATACATATTTTATTATAATAAATTTTCGTATGTCTGTCTCAATATATACTCGTGGGAGGATAAGAAACACACACATGACTTAAAAAAGAAGTGTCAGAAATAACCCACGACTTTAAAATGTAAGCTACACGCCATCTAGATTACAGTCATAGGCTGGACTCATTCATT